CCCAGCAGCCCTCGCTCCCTGCCAGGGCTGGCTCACCAAGCAGGAGCCTCAGTGTGGCAGCAGCTGGCACCACGCACGCTCTGGCTCATTAACAGTAACTGAAGCGAGCAAACAGAGCTTACAGCAGTGAGCATATCCAGCTCGAATGTAAGAACGCTGTAAAATGCGCAAGAAACACGTCCCACTCCTTTCAGTTTTCACAGCAGTGACAGCACAGGTGATAATTTAGCAGATAGGCCTGCATTTGCAAACCTGCTCATCCTGCGCCTCACATCCAGTTGTTTCAGCCCTCATTTGTCAAGTACATTGCACATACTCAACACCAATGTAAAACAAGTGCTAAGCATCTTATATAAAGTCTCCAAACAGTTCTTGAAATTAGTGGAAATTTCTGAAAATGCCTGTCATTGAGCATTTTTCTCAAGGCATATACATTGAGTAAATAGGATATGATCACAACTACAATTTCTCAGTACAGGAAATTGCCAGTCACCAACATAATTAGAAACAGTTCACGTGATCAAATTAATCATTCAAAAAAGAGCAATTACTGTTAACAGAATAATGGCATGCCTTAAAAAAGAATGAAATTAACCTTTAGGACCAACATAGTTACCCCCACCACTCTGTACTGAGGCAGCAAAGATTAATACATGTGCAAAATAAAACACTGCATTAGCATCTGCTGAAAACAGTAGTAGCATTATCTATCTGGCCTATTCAACCCTTAACAAACTTTATTCTTTGGCCCCAACAGTGAGTGGAAATATCAATAGTCATTTCTCTGCCAAAATGAAAAAAAAACCCACTTTTCAAGATTTCCATTGCTATATAACTTACCATATTTTGATTATTGTTGACCAGTAATTCCATGAAGATTAAACATAAGTCAGCAATTTGAAATGCAGAAGAATTTAACTTTCAAACCTACATTACAGCTTCTCAAAAGCTAAGACTTGGCTTGTTAAGGCTAAAGCTTAACTCTGTAAGATCTAGAAACACATGCCAAACATATTGAAAAAACTATATTTTTGCTCTGTTGTGCTAAACATTGTCTGATTATAGATGTTTTTTGAAATTTATACTTCTAAGTGAGATTAAGTTTATATTTAGAAACACAGTAACACTATGCTATCATTGGATAGCGGAGTTAATATGTTTTGAATCCTCAAGCTGTGTGTTTCTACATAGATTAGATTTATTTTATTCTGAATGTCAGCAATGTTTAAATTAAGTCATAGATAATTAGAGACATATAACATCTATAAATAAATTTATTGATTCACAGAAGTTACTTATATCAAGCTGAAGCACGTTAGCTGCTGCAAACTGGTATACAGCTGGTTTTTATCATCCCAACACTGGAAAACAGCAGGGACATGCTCCTCAATTTTCCTTTCTCGTGGCCTCTGTCTTGCCCTGAAGATGTATTCCACTCCCTCATGTGTTCAACTTTCCTCTTCCTTTTGCTCCCTCAATTACACTTCCCTTCCTTCTGCTCAGTACAAATGACGCAAACACAAATAAGTATTTGCAACAAACGTGACATTTACTCCAGTCTTTTCCCTATTTGATAACATACCTGGTAAACAGGCTGGTGTAACTCATAGTAGGAAGAAGATTCACATTTAACTGTGTTTTTTCATCAAGTAATCATATTTTACTCTGATCAGTATTTAAGCCATAAACTGTAGCTGCACTTAGATGTCCCTCATTTGGACAGAGACTAATTCTAAGTAATTCAAAGTAGATTATTTTCTTTTTCCCAAGGAATCAACTTTCTATTAGAAAACACCATTACTCCATTTTTATATGGAGTTACACAAAGCCTAAAAAGCCTGTACCTTCTCATTTTCAAGGTCATTTAAAAGTGATTCTAATATATGTCAAATTTTTCAAGTAACCTTTTTCAATGAATTTTCATTCAAATTCATTAGCAAATATATGTCCATGTTCTCTAGAACACATTTACTCCCATTTTACAATGAATGTGCTGCAATTGATATAAAATACATTGAAACATTGATTTTAAATTTCTTATTTCATTATTTCTTAATTCTAGATCAGCAGCTTCCTATGTCTACGTTAAATAGCATGCAATCTGCTGCATGGTCAAAGACAAACACATACATGCTGATAAAGATTTTTATTAACAGTTGTGATGATACACAGACTGACACACTGAAGATCAGTGTCCATATCTAGCTATACTTAACATAGCTAAGGATAGGTTCAGAAATGTTGAAAACAACAATTACTCTCTGTTAATTTAAAGAAAAACATGGGCTGCCAGCATGAAAGTGTTACGGTGATAGTAGGGGATAACAATGAGCAGTGGTATCTCTGCATCAGTGCTACATCAAAACAGGACAACGAGCAGCATTAATTTTAACATTACCAGTGTATTCATGGTTTGAATTGTAATGTCTTCAGTGCTCACCCCCAATAGGGGGAAAAGTCTGTGAAACAAGAAAAAACTACGTCTGTAGGTTCTATATGGCCTAATACAGTACTTATCTCATTCAACATCTCAGTACAATAAACACTGCAAACATGCTGTGCTGCTCTTCTAATTTGGGAATATCTGATTAACATCTGGACTGCACTCATAACTTCAGTTTAGCACTACTTTGAGTTAACGTTGCCACCAAGATAATCTGTATGCAAGAAAATACATACTAGACAGATTATTATATAAAACCCTAAAACAAAAATAAAAATGGGTACCAGAAATGAATTTAGAAAGCAATCAATCCTTAGCATCCATACAGGAGAGAAATGTAGACACAAGGCTCCTGCCACAGAGACCTACAGTGAGATTAAATGTGCTCACGAACTGCACTGTCCTTGCTAATTGCCTTTGCCAGGAGAATGGCAAAGCTTCAGCACAGGGACTGCTGGTCCCCACTGCTTCAATAGCAACAAGAACCCCAAAATGTGCCACCTCCCCTTGTCAGTAGCACTGATCAAGCTCTCCAAGGAGGGAGAGCTGTTCACAGAGTAATGCCATACATTCTGCTTGTTCCTGACCTCTGTCTAACACAGTGGAACTACAGCAAGTGCAGCACAAGGCCTTAGCTTGACCTGCACTCACTGTCCCTGTGGTGGCAACAAAAACTTCCTTCACCTTCAGAATTCCAGCACATGACTAAAGCCAGGGGCACTGACTTCTGTTATTGCTGAGTAAGTGATCTTGGAAAAAGTGCTTGAATTGCAAATTATCTTTCAGCCTAGTAACTAATTGACAATCTCCAAAATATTTAAATATTTCTAGGACAGCATGCTACCACTACATTTATTTAAATGCCTTGGAGTTGAAAGAGGGATTTTAGTTATGGTATTGTTTAACACAATATATCCATAAAAGTTGACAGTAAGAAGCAATAAAATACTAGACACCAAATGAAACAGGAGTCACTAATAAATGAATACTTTTATTTGCTCTAGTTGTGCAGCTGATAATTCTTGGATAGGCCAAAGAAACCAAAACTGCTAAGAAATACTAGTTAATTTAAAATAACAAACAAAATGAACAAAATCTCTAAGAGGTTCAGGGAACTTGGGAAGTTGTGACTACAAGAAACATTAGAGGACATTTCCTTCAACTCCTTCGAAGCTATTGCTCAAGTGTAATGCAGCATGCTTGTGATTTGGCAGCACAAGCTTATTCTGCCCTGCATATGCATTTACACCTTGAGAAGTTAAAGCTTTTTTGAACTCAGTTCTCTGAAGCGTCATATAACTATACCTCCTTGCAAAGAACCAGCCTCTTTATGTACTGCAGTGGAAAAATTAGGTATCTTTATTACCACAGTAAGAGCTCAAGGAAACAGCCAATTGTTTTGAGAATTAGAAAACGTGCAAGCACAATTTTTATTTAAAGGAACAAAACATTGGACAAGTTTGCACCAGTGTTTATCTAAAATATAAAATGGTAGTATTCCAGTTAAAGGTGTAACTCCCAGCATAAACTTTCCTGGAAATCTGTATGGTGGGTTTATCAGGAGGTAATTACACAGCTGCTAATCTTGGTCTCACAACAAGGCCAATGATCTACAGGAATTGTAAGGACTAAGGAAGATTTGTCACCTTGACCATGATAACAAAATCCTTCCACTTACATCTTAAAGAACTGACACAGAAGGCAAACACAGGAAATGTGTTATCTGTAGGATATTATGCATTAGTGATAAGCAATTAGTGTTTTCTCTTTTGTAAATCATACATAAAGATGAATTTATATCATTGGGTCTGTACAAAGAATTTATTCCCAAGAGAACACAAATAAAGTAATTGTATCACACAAATTATTGATAATTAATGTTTCTTACTGAAGTTGAAAACACCCCTGCAAACATGGCATGGCATGCTTTGTACTTCCAGTATGTTAGATTTATTGTTCAACTGTGGAAAGCAAGCCTGTATATTCCCTTACATAAACAACAGGATTCACATACTTGTACGTCTATTTATTTGTATTGATATTAGTGTCTCTATTTTTAATTAGAAAGGACTTTCAGTTTTTCTGTGTCTGCACTTAACTGAACTTTAGAAAGGAAGCTGTATAAAACTGTCTCGATTCTAATCCAAATTAGCTATTTTAAAATGCAATGGCACTTTATCTTTCTCTTTAGTGCTGTAAACACTGACATTCGGAAACTAAATCTTGTTTGTCTAACACCTTAAAGATAGTGTACTTTTTTTTTCCCACAGGAAGGCTGTAAAACAAGTTAAGGTACCTTTATCAATGCAGACAGATCTCCTCCAGCCACCTTCAGCTTAAAGTTTTAATCAGCTAATGATTAAGATTTTCATTACTAAGTACTTAGCACTAAATTTGCACTGTTCAACTGCTAACTGCCATGCAGCTACCATTAAATACTCACCTAAACACATCAACAAATTTTAACACATGAAAGTAAATTAAGGATCACGTAAAAAAATAAACAATCTGAACCTTTCTGCAACAGATGGCCTAATTTCACCATTATCCACGAAGTATGATGCTGGTGTGTTCCCCTCCCTCAATTATCATCTGTTTACCTTTGGCAGGAGTTGCGACAGGTCCTTAGCTACCAGGTTAATACAGTATCCATAGCACCGAGGAACTCTATTCTCTGCCTTGGACACAAACACAGGTTCTCAGTGCTCCATAAATCCTTTATTAAACCATTGAAAGCTTGAAAAACCTGGCCATTACCTGCGTTTCATTATCTGGTGCAACGGTTCATGAGAATATTTGTTCCTATTGTAACATGACAGCTGTTTAACGATTTGACCTAAAAAAAAAGAAAAAAGAAAAAAAGCTGTGTTTTCAATTGGCAAATTGCAAGCACATGTACTTATTTTGATGCAAGCTTAAAAAAAAATAAAATATAACCCAGGCCATACTTCCAGAAGAGACAGCCCGGATAATTCGCAGCCAGGCACACTTCAGTTCTTACAACCATTCTACAGCCTCCAAATTGTGTGCAGTTGTACAGAAAGTCAAAACATTTGGCTTAAATCAGGATTTTCAGAAAGCGCACGTGTACGGTGGCTGAGGCCAGCGGTGAGGACAGCACTTTTCAGCCGGCCAGAAGATAAATAATAATATAAAGATATTTAAAACTAAACGTTTTTCGCCGACCTCTTATATTGCCTTTCGGGGGGGTGGGCTTAACGCGTTCTTGCACGCCCAGGGGCGGCTCACGGCCAGCATCCCCGTACCCCAGGGGAGATAAATAATAACAACAACATAAAGATGTTTTTAAAAAAGCGTTTCCCACCGGGGTGGGCGGGCCCTGGACGCGCTCTCGCCCACCTGGGGGCGGTGAGCCAGGCTCTCCCGAGCGGGCCTGGCCCCACCTCGCCCCGTGCCTTCCCTCCCCTGGCAGCGAGCCCGGGCTCCCCTCTCCGCCGGGCAGTCCCGGCCGCGCTCCCGGTCCCGCTCCCGGCGGGCGCCGCTCCCGGCGGCCGCGCGTGCGGGCGGCTCCGCGCGGGGGGATTTGAAACGGCCGCTCCGGGGGCCGCGCGGCGGCGGCGGCCAATCAGCGCCGCCGATTTTTCGCGCTGGTTCTGGCCGGAGGAGGGGGCGGGGCCGCCGCGCAGGACCCGCCGGAGCCGCCGCCGCCGCTGTTGCCGCTGTGTCGCCTCGGCTCCCGCCGCTCCCCGGCACCGAGATACCGCCGCCGCCTCGCCCGGCTCCCCGGGGAAAAGGATGCGCTAGGGCACAGCTCGGTAGGCCGGGAGCGCGGCTGGCTCTCCCCCGCGGGAAGGGAGGAGGCACCCGGGGCACGTTCCCGCAGGCCCCGGGCGGGAGGCGGGAGCGGCGGGAGCGGCGGCGGCGGCGAGGCTCGCCCGCCCGCGGGGATGCTGCCGTCCGGCCCCGCGCCTCGCCGCGGGCACCGGGAGTCCCCTCCCGGGCCGGGACCTCGGGCCCTGGCCGGCAAAAGCGCAGCGGAGGCGGCGTGGGGGACGGGGGGTTCCGTGGCGGGGTATCCGCGCCCCACTCCCGCCCCGGCGCTTCCCCCGGGGACTCCCCCTCCGCCGAGGATCCGTTCCCCTCAAACTTACCGTCTCCATCTGCCCGGGCAGCCCGCAGCTCCCGTTTCCCCCTTCCCCCGGAGGAGGGCTTTTTTGTTCGCTCCCCCCTCCTCCCCCCCCCCCGCTACCTGGCCCTCGCTGCGGGGCCGCGGGTCCCCACGCCTGACCCTCGTCCCCCCCCGGAGGCTGCCGCAGGATTTGTGCCGCTGGCTGGGCCTGACTCTTGGGTGGCGGAGGAGCGGAAAGGAGCGATGCCGAGCCGGAGTCCCGGCTGTTGCAGCTTCATCCTTTCCCCCCGACCGCCTCCTCCTCCTCCTCGCCGCTGCGGGAGGTCGGGGGCAGCATAAAGGGGCAAAGGAGAGGTGTCCACCCTTCCCACTTCCCTCCCCAGGGAATGGGGGGTCAATCAGTGCAAATCAGAAAGAAAACCGGAGCGGGGGTACACGACCCATGGGAAGGGGAAAAAACCCCTCCCCAGGTTTTAAACCGCCCCCTTAAGGGGTAGTGAGGCTGCAAATGTCCCCCTCCTTGGCGGTGAGGGTGTGGGGAGGTGGAGGCTGCTCCTGCCCCTTCCCGCCGGGTAGGACTGAGATTGTACGGCAGCAGGAGTGAATGTAACTCTGGAAATGTATGGAGGGGGAAGCCATGTTTGATTTATTCCTCCACCAAACACTGGTGTGATGATCCTTCGACTTAGACCCTTCTGCAGCCCATCCTGGACCGGTATGGGAGGAGAGCCTTGTTAGGAAAATGGAAAAAAAACATTCCTGCGAAGGCGTGCGGGCTCGTTGGCTCAATATTCATTAAGTGTAAGAGGACAGGGCTCTTGTAACTTGAATTGATATTTGTGTGGTAAAAGAGCCTGGAGAACTTGTATTCCCAAGGCCATAGTTACGGCTCATCTGCTGTGGCTTTACCGCTCTGGGGGTGGAGAAGGGAATTTGCCATACTTCTTGAACGTATTTATAGTTGCCTTTTGGTTTTGGCTTTTTTTTTTTTTTAAAATATGTCGGCTGAAAGGAGGAGTAAACACTAGTAGAATTACAGAGACAGTAAACATCATATTTAAACAGATTTCAGAGAAAATGGGCTTCTTGCTAACAGGCATAAGACAGGCTGATATCAGTCACTGCTCGTGTATTTCGTGTGCATGAATATTTCCTTATTGGTATTTGCATTAAATTTGGTTTATAATGGTTCTTAAATTTCTGAGCTAGTGCACCCCACACTGAGTAATCTAAATATATCTGCTTTTAAAAAAAAGAAAAAGGAAGGTATGTTTGGCTTTCAGCCTTTGCATACATCCAGGGAAGGTAAACACTAGGGTGGCAGTGAAGTTTGTAATAGATTCTGCAGAGAGTCCTTGCTGGTGACTTAAATGGACCTATATATGTATATATATATATATATATATGTATAAGGTTGCTAAAATTCCTTACACATGGAAAGTGTGGCTTCAACTGCGAGAATAAATTGGTTCTTTACCAAAATGTTTGTTTGTTAGTAGAATACCTGTAAATTTATTGCTGAAGCTATTATTTGCTTGTTTGCTGTGGGAGTTTCAGTTGGGAAATGCAGCATATCAACATTAATAAACTCCTCAGTTTCACAGTGTGGTGAATCTGACTTTGGATTATTTGAGTGTTGGATGAAGTAATTGAATTAAACCACTGTTTTGCAGGGCTACTCAGGGCTCAGTACTTAGAGTATATGCAATTTTTGGTTGCTTCAGTAACTATATCCTATATATTAAAACATACAGGGATTTTTGTCTAGTCTGCACCCATCAGAAAATCTGACAGGATTTTTCAGTATGTGAATATAAATGCTCTAAATATTGCTGGAGACTGTGACTAGCTCTTGTGAAGGTTATAGGACTATTCACCCCCATACATGCTTGGAAAAATCCAGGTATTAGAAGTACAGTAAAACTTACTACTTTATCAAATATTTGAAAATGTCAGAAAAAACTAGGTCATTATACTTTAAGGGTCTAGATCTAAAGTAGTTTAGAAGACGGAAAAAAAAGTTGTATTTCTTTTTAGTTCAGTATGAATCCAACAAATGGCTAGTAAGAGTAAAAAATATGGTTTACTGTCTGTAGGGCTACATGCCTTTTCTGAAGCCATTGGTAGTTTTGCATGTGAGATTATTGCAGTTAAATTACTGTCTATGCTGCAATGGACTGGATATTACAGCAAAACCAACCCTGCTTGGGTTTAGACTGGAAGCAAAAAGGACTGTTGATGGGTGGCTGTCTAGTATTTGAGTGGTGAATATACACATACGGGTGAGTTTGTGTCCAAAACACTGCATTAATTTAATAGCAAAGGAAAGGCAAAAATATTGTTTTTCAGTGTCCTGTTGTTTGTTGCCCTTTCACCTCTCACTTTCGCACTGAGCCTGCTTTTTTTCCACCAATATCAATACATTTCCCAAGCGAGGTCTTGTTTCTCCAGCCTGATAAATGTGTTTCCTTGTGGTCAATCAAAGCCTATTGGGTGCATTGGGGCTCCATGTGCATAAATGTACACCTGCTCTGCTCAGATTCCTCTATCAAGTGTCTGGCATGTGATGAGTAGAAGATACAAACAGAATTCTTGCAGCAATTTGGTCACTGCTGGTCATTCTGCATATATAACTACACGACATTTCTTATGTTTTAAGCCCAGAAGATGGTTTAATGCATGAAAATTGCACAATAGAGCAAGGTGAAGGGTCAGGCCTTTTCTGGGAGAAAAAATGAAACCTCTCTTTGGGAGTAGTGTGCTGCACAATGAGAAGCATCCACTAAGTGGTATTGCTGAAAACAACAGATTTCCTAAGTCAGTAATCAGGCACGAGTAAAGAACTGCTTGGGTGGGACTAATAATAATGCCATAGATTATGACTGCATCATCTTCAGTACTGTGTTTGTGGCTATACTACTTGAACTCTTTCATTACTTTACTGCAGAGAGAATGGAAATGGCCTTATGGTTGAGTAGATGTGATAGATCTGGTATAATTCTCAAATCCAGCCTTGGGATGAAGAAAGAACGGAGATCATAGAATCAGAGAATGGTTAGGGTTGGAAAAGACCTTAAAGATCATCTAGTTCCATGGCCCTGGCATGGGCAAGGATGCCTTTCGCTAGACCAGGTTGCTCTAAGCCCCATCTCAAGTGGATCTAAGTGGATCAGGAAGTCCCATGTTTCTAGGGAACATCACTTTCCCAACAGTTAGGCCGTAGGTTTGAGAAATGTCTTCACCAAGCATGTACTGGGATCTTGTTGGTGTAAGTGAGCAGTGGAGATGGAACATGGCACCAGGATAAGTGCTCAGGTGGTGAAGTGAAGAGAAAAAATAATTTCTCATCAGAGCTTGACATGTGAAGTCCAAATTTCCTTTGGTGCATAATTGCAGAGAACTTGGGAGAAGGAGGGCTGGGAAGGACAGCCTTGTTCATGTGCTAATTGTCACACTGCTGGTTGTAAATTCATGTAGTTTGAATGGTCAGCTGTTTTATACAGTTAATGGTTACTTGGAAGGTTTTGATTCTGAGAACATTTTGGAAGGAAAATAGAGAAACTACCTAAATTTTCTCCCTTTATTGCACCTTCAAGTTAGCTTCTCTATGACCTGTAGTCATTGGAGGTAGCTGTATAAATATATTTGCCTTTTTCGTGTCATTTTACACTGACAGAAATTACTAAAATGATACACCAGGTGTTATTTTTAATGTTTTTATCAAGTTTGGCAACACCTATAATAGTTAATTTTGTTTTCTAGCATCAGCAGGAAAGGAAGTTTTTGGAATATGTGGAAGAAAAATGTAGACCATACTCTATTCTGCTGCCCTTTTGGTTGAGTAGCAAGCTACAAAAATACTTAAAGTTCATGGTGAGGAGGAATATATACTGATATATATTAATACCTTGTGATGATAAGTAGTGCATGGTGGACTACGTATTAACCTTCCTGACAAGCAACTCTAAACTTTAGCATCAGATAATCTGTTGACTCTTTGGTCCATTAATTAAGCAACTTCTGTCTGAAGCATACAGTAGATTGTAACATAAGCCAAATTTTTTAAAATGCGTGTTGTGTGCAATAAACAAACACCTGTGAATCATGGTTGAACCAAAAGCAAGACTTGTATCCTTGCTAATGTCAGGAAATAATACCATTGCATGGAAGTTGCATGGTACCATAGTGTGATGAGATACGTGTGGAAAGCAGATGTTTGAAAATGTATTTGAATGTTACACAGCAATCAGATTGTACTTAGTGAGTATGAAAAAGTGATGTACTAACCTAATGTGCTTCAGAATTTTCATACATTGGGCAAAATGACTTTGCCCTGGGGCACCACAGATGCAGGTTCTCATATATGACTTACTGTGAAACTAGTAAAGTATATAAGAGACTTAAAGCATGTTTTAAATTGCAAGGATTGCTCAAGACGTGATGGCTCTGTTTCTAGTTTTGTTCCCATCCTTTTAACTTGTCCTATTTTTATCTTGGTGCAAGATAGCAATTTGATCTTATTTTGAACTTCAGTATTCAGCTCTCCAGCACAAATCGGAACTCTGTCATATTCCTTTTAGGGGTAAGAATACATAGGTGGCAAATGACTGGAAAACTGCAGCATGATATGCTATTGAACTTGATTTTCATAGATGCTTTACCATTTTCCCACTGCTGTCTGAAAGTTGCTGTTGGTTTTCTGTGTCTCTTTGGAGGAGCACAGGGATATCTTTTTCTGCTGGCTGACAGAGATGATGATTTAACTTTGTGAAATCTCTTTGGCTTGTGCCTTATACAAAATACTAAAATATTAGCATCTCACATCCATGCTAAAATATACATTAAAAATATGTTTTATACAGAATCACAGGATATTCTGAGTTGGAAGGGACCCCAAGGACTATTGAGTCCAACACTGAAATGAATGGCCTGTACAGGGACTGAACTCACAGTGTTTGGGTTATTAGCACCATGCTCCTACCAGCTGAGCCAAACTCAGGGTATACAAATAATTTTCAAACATATTTGGCCTTGAGAGCTAAGATCAGAATTCCATGGTTTTTTTGCCAAAGTCAGAGAACATAATAGGAGTGAGTTCTGTTCTGTTCTCTGAGTTCTGCCACAAGAAATAAACGAGATACACAAAGGAGCAGAAGATGAGATATTCTGTGACAAAAATATCTTTAAGAGAAAAGGCTGAGGTTTGGGAAGATCACAGAAATGTGATTTAAATGTAATTTGAAATATTTTGAAAAGCTACTGATTAAAAAACAAAAGAAACATTAGAAAGAACATGCAGTAATGCAGCCTTCTGTCATGGTGTTTGGGACCCATTTCAC